ATAAGGGATTTGGAGAGATCTGACTTCAGACCACTGTGTAGGTGTGGGGCATAAGGGATTTGGAGAGATCTGTTTGTTTGTTTTTAAAGAAGCACGCTGTGTCTATTTACACAGCCCGTCTTGAGAAATGAAATTCAACAGAATATCCCGCTAAGCCCTCCATAAATGCAGTGCTCTTTCTCTGTCCACCAGCCCCCTCCCCCTCCTCCACATCCCATCCCTTCCCTCTCCCTGTGGCCGCCCCACCCCCATCGTCGTTATCAAAGTCTTGTCTCCCCGTGTATGAACCAAGATTCTTTTCCTTTGCTTTTCCTGACAGCAGTGGTGGTAGTAAATGTGCATCCTGGTAAGATTGCCTGAGTTGGCCATGCACCTTGTTCTCCGGTTTTGCCGTGTCCTGTGGCGCTTAGGAGAGTTGCCGGGGCTTGGACTGAAGCAGACACTGTCTTGTATGAATGCGGCGGTGTTTTGTCCATTCCGCCATAGTAGGTGAGGCTTGGGGTTCCGTGTGTATGCTTTGTAGAAGTGGCTGCTGTGAACATAGGTGTGCACTTGCCTGCTCGTGTGGCGTGCTTTCGTTCTTTGGGGTATGCCCCCAGTGGAGAGATGGTTGGATCGTTTTTGCATCTGTTTAAGGACTTTCAGAGTGCTTGTACAATCCTACAGGCGCCCTCACAGTGTGAGCATGCCGGTCTCTCCACATCCTCCCACCGTTAATGGTTTTCTGTTTCGTTGCATTTTGTGCATGTTTCTTGGTAGAGGAATCCATGCCAAGGAGTTGCCTGGTCATGCGGCAGGCACAGGTGGAATTTCAGAAGAAAACCCAGTTGTGCCGTCTTGACACAGGATGTGGGAATCTGCCCTTGCCCCTGGCTCTGGAAGGAGCCGTGTGGACACGGTCTCCAAAGAGGAGCAGCCTCCGTCCTTTCAAAGTTTTTCTCAGCCGACCCCTGAGGACCACCGCAGGGGGAAGATCTGACTCCTGCTCCCTTGCTGAGGTGGGGCACCCTTGACGCTCACTCCAACGTGAAAAACAAGCACAATGCGCAGGTCGAACCCCTTGCCATCAACCCAACCGGCCTCGACCCAGATGACAAAGCAGAACTGCCCGCAGGCTTCCCGAGGAGGCTGTACCTCTCACAGGGGCGGATGGTCACACCTTTCCTCCCAGGAGAACGGCAGGCCTTTCAGGTCCCGGCAGAACACTTAGCCACCACACCACCAGGCCTCCTGCACTGGTTCCCCTCTGACCCAGCTTGGTGAAGTACAGCGGTCGGCCAGTCATGAGCCCCTCCCTTGGGGACTCTGCCCTGCCATGGTCTTCTCCATTCAGAGGGAGGAGCTGCCACGCGGAACATGCCGCCCCCAGGCTGGGGCAGGGTGCAAATCCCGCCCACTCATTATCAGGTGGCTTCAGGGAGGTGAGCTGCTCAGGAGTGGCTCCTGTGGGTCTCTGCCCTAAACGGAAGTCACCAGGACACGTGGGAGGGAGGAGTTGCTGGAGGGGGGCGGGGTGAACACCAGCATTAAGGTTAAGACCTAATTAGAGTAGTGCGGGAAAGGAACAAGGTGTTTCGTTCACAAGGGTTCCAATTAAGAGCTGGAGACTGCAACACGCTCCCACATAATAAGGAAAACTGAGAATGGGGGCAAGCAGGCTTCATCCTACGAGGATAAGCCTGGTTTAAACCCTGCGGCCCAATCGATTCTGGCTCATGAGTTGCCGTCAAGCAGTTTATAGCAATCAATGTTCCTGTGTACAACAGTCAGACACCCCTGTTCCTGCACCTTCTTTACAGTTGTTCTGTGTACAACAGTCAGACACCCCTGTGCCTGCACCTTCCTTACAGTCACTCCTGTGTACAACCGTCAGACACCCCTGTGCCTGCACCTTCCTTACAGTTGTTCTGTGTACAACAGTCAGATACCCCTGTGCCTGCACCTCCCGTACAGTCACTCCTGTGTACAACAGTCAGACACCCCTGTGCCTGCACCTTCCTTACAGTTGTTCTGTGTACAACCGTCAGACACCCCTGTGCCTGCACCTTCCTTACAGTTGTTCTGTGTACAACCGTCAGACACCCCTGTGCCTGCACCTCCCGTACAGTCGTTCCTGTGTACAACCGTCAGACACCCCTGTGCCTGCACCTTCCTTACAGTTGTTTTGTGTACAACAGTCAGACACCCCTGTGCCTGCACCTCCCGTACAGGCGCTCCTGTGCTCAACCCCATGCTCGCCGTCACATAATCAATCCATCTCGTCAAGGGCCTTCCCCCTCCTGGCTGCCCCTCCTCTGTACCATGTCTGATGTCCGTCTCCAGGGGCTGGTCTCTCCTGACAGACGTGTTTGTTCTTTCGGCGGTCCACACCAGCAGCAGATGGGTTAGTTGACCTGAAAGTGCCAGACCATCCTGACCCCTCTCACCACGTGATGCCCCGGGGGTAGGTGGTCTGTGCCAACTGGGGCTCTCAAGTGGCATGCCCAGCGGTGTTTCCCAGGCACGTCTCATGAAGCCAGTTCCCTGAAGCAAAGCGCCTGGCCTGGCTCCGGAAGCCCGAGTGTCTGCAGAGTGAGTGTCCTGCGGGAGCTGCGTCCCTCCACAGCGCATCACTCCCACACGGTGTCCACTCTGCGCCGACTCCTCTCGACTCCATCGGGAAGGGCAGAACTTTCTGCAAGGCCGCGACTCTCTACGGAA